CGTAGTCCACCTTCCGCCACACCTGTGCCAAGCATCCTCGCAATCTCCACAGAGGCAGACAAATGAATTTCCCAGAGAATCCGCGGCACTGACTGAGGAAATGGCAGCCTTTGGAATTCCTGCTGGTCACGCCTGACCATAAGGCCAAGGAGGAATTCAAAGAACTGCTGTTGGTCACATGGCACAAAAAAAGAGCCCGTTGCATCAACGGAAGGTTGTCCTGCAATGGCTTCCAAGACATGCCGTTGTTGTACGTTTTATATTGTTTGAGCCATGTTTGACGTACGGGTTTGTTTGCGCATGTTTGCGCGGATGACCATACTTTATCCTGAATTTGAGATCGGACCGAGGCAAAGATGACTCGCTACTTGAAGGGCTGGAAGCGGGTGCTGGACAAAGACAACACCAACCGCTGCAACTGGTACGAGTTCCAGGCAATTGGATGGAGAGTGATGGGGCATAGACAGGTCACTGCAAAGGTCCGCAAAGTGTATAATCAGACAACAATCAAGACCATGTTAGCAGATTTCCAGTAAACTTGAGACCAAGGAAGAGCAGCCTTCTTTTTTGGGGATGGCCTTTGCCTGTTTGCCTTTTTGAGTGGAGTCAGCCCGTTCCGTTCTTGTGTTCATGATGCTCAGCCGGGCAAGACTGCCTCGATCTGGCGTGATTGTATGGACAGCACATGATAGTACACAACTCATGGGGGGATTGGAGTTGATTCTGTTCCATGCTCCCATGACCCATAACAATGGATGAACCACACAGAAAACAATAAGATATAGTAATTACTAATTACTCCGGGGAAAAAAACACATCTCGATGAACAAATGAGATTTTCCGATTCAGTTCCATGTTAGTGCCAGGGTGCATAAGTCATAAGTGCATTTGTGCACGTTCCATGTTAAATTTGCGCAAAGTAGTAAACCTCCGGTTGATAACCTGGTGTGGCCCTGGTATCAGTCAGGGCCAAATTGAACGTGGACCATTTGACCCTAGAATTCTGGGTGCCCCCCCCGTTTCATGTTAGATTTGCGAGCCTCAAACAAGGATGGTCCCAAGGCCATCTGAGGGAGTAGCATGGGCGTAAAACATGTTCTATGTTAACTTTGCAGGGTGCCTCAAACCTGCCTGTCCACCGAAAAAAGTTGCAATGCCAATTCCCCAGGAGTTGCGGTGAAACGAGTTCCATGTTTAAATATGCCGAAACTAGTTTTCCCTTCTTTCACCGGTGTACCGGTTTCTTTTGCAAGTTCCATTGCACCCTGATGCAATGAAACTGGTTCATCGTGGTTCCATTCCGTCCACCTTTCGCAGGAAGCTTGCCGCATCCTGGGCTTCCGGGGGAACATTGGCGGCGCCTGGCGCGCCTTCGATGAGGACCTCTCAGGCAGCTTTGCAGCTCCGGCAACTGTGAAAAAAATAGCACGCTGCAGTTCGACAAAAGTCGGAGCCTCTCATTTTTTACAATGGGTACCCAATAGGTACAACATACAGTCAACTGCAGTTTTGATAAGGTAGAACACCCATCTTCGAGGGTGCAAACTGCCGAGTCCAGGTAAAGGGATGCCATACATAGGATGGGCTTTAAAGACAAGTTTCACACACTGCAGGCCCCAAATGTTCTGGCATGAAAGTGGAAAGCCCCACCGTGGTGGTAGAGGAAAAGTTGATTCGGGCAAGCAAACTAGTCCTAGCATACTAACCAAAACCGGGTCAATCATATCCTCCTACTCTATTTTTGCCATTGTGCATTTCTTTAACTTTGAAAGTTTAATCGTATGATGCTGCCAGTCGTGTTATTGAAGGGAGTCTTCAAGATTGATATACTGATAGAACCCTGTTGCAAAACCATGCCCAAAAAAACATCATCTATAGTAATAATAATTTTTCTACCAGGGAGCCAAACAGTTCAGAGTTATTTCTGCCGTGCTGCTGGTGGAAGGCTACATCAGTCTGAAGGAGCTGGACGAGAATGCTAGCAAGGTCCTCTTGGGATTCAGGCGCTGGGCTATTGCAGAGCACCTGGGCGGAAGTTAAAAACCCCTGACGTGTGCATGGATCGGAAGACCTGCGATCAGTCAGAGCTCTTTGGCTTGAGAGTGCTGAACATCGATGCTTTTGTGTCCACCCTGGACACGACCCACTTGTGTTTCTTTCGCACGGCTCTCTTTTGCCAAGTTCACACAATCTCCTGGAAACAAAGAGGAGCAAAGACAGAGGATGAAAGAGGGGTCGGGTGCAAAGAACAAAGACTGAGTGGCAGCGAATCTCTCAGGTTCGGATCAGTCCGGCAGCTCTTTACCACCTTCGACAAGGACAAGTCCAACAGCTTGAGCCCTTTGGATCGTTTGATCCTTTTGGTCCGATCCACCGCTGTTTCACCTCGTATCAGTGCTCTCCTGAACCGCGTATTACCATGGTGAAGGTACGGCAAGGTTTGGGCAACCTAGCAAGACCAGCACACATCGGATCGGGGCTCGACTTCGACACGTGAATTCCTGGAGATGCCATTGATTGCAGGAGAGTTCGGGGGATGTGTACCTCTATGAATGTAATTCAATTCATATCACTACCACATATATTATATGTGTATATATTGTACTGTACACATGTTAAAACATATATATATATATTCATATCATACACTACGTACAAATAACGTCTAAGCATTGTAGAATACATGGGGTACGGGTTTTGTATAGCAATCGTATCAACTGCTGTCTAGTTGATACTCCTATCGATCCCTGCATGGCAGACTTGACGTTTTCAAATGCCTCGACAGCGGAGGCTTTTTGGAGTGGCGGGGCGCCTTGAAGGTCTATGGCCGCGCAGCTGCACCGATCCGACCAACAAGGTTCGTTCCGCGGGGTCCTTTCCGGAGAAGCCGGAGCCAAGATGCAAGAGCTTCTTTGTTTCAGAACGCAAAAGTTCTCCAGTTGAAACTTGGTGCCAGTCCTGGATCAGAACATTCCACTTTGACTCCAAGGAAGTGCCCAGAGAATCGAATTTCAGAGTTCGTTCTTATCCTTTCGTGCCCTCCCCACTATTGCTGACAATTGCTGTTCTTTGGCTTTTCCAGACAGCCCACTACCACAGAGTAGGACTCAATGGTCTAGCCCTTGATTTCCCCAAGGGCCGCACCAAATCCTGGCAAATTCTTTAAGCAGGGACATCATTTGGCGCAGGTTTCAAGCTTTCACACTCAGTCGACGTGACGGCTTGCTGTACCCAAACGACGGCTCCGTCGTCATACCGGCCTTTCCGTAGCTCAAAGGCTATGATGGCCCTTCGAGGCGGCGCTGCGCAGCTCGCTGTTGGTCAAAGTTCCACCAAGCAGAGATTGTGAGACGTCATGTCATTGTGGTGGGTTCTTACTTGTGGTGGTGGTCAAGTTTCTTCTTCATTTTGGCAGAATGTGGAGGAAAAACAAAAACACGATTCACCCGGAGAGGTTCCATCCCAGACCTCAGCAGACCTCAGCCCGCAGGGAGCTCTTCCAGGCACTAGATGTGGGAGGAGAAGGCTCGCTTTCAGTGAAGGAGGCACCAGACGAGCTGTCGTGGATTCTTTTTGCTGCAGGGATCTCTCAATCCAGCACTAAAACTCTAAAGACTATATAAATCATACTGCGTCATGTTTGGGGATTGCCAGATATGACATTGATGACAGAAAAGATCAGAAAAGCTTGCCAATCATGTTAAAGGTTGGAGGAGGAAAGAGCCACTCTGAATCGCAACGAGCCACTCAACCTGAGGCCCCCTCCTCCAAATGGCCCCCCAAGTGCCTGTGTGAGCAAGTTAGTCGCAGTGTGTGCAATTGAGTCGCTGTGTGCACAAGTGAGTTGCTGTGCGCGCAAGTGAGTTATATAACTCTTGCGCGTGCCAGTGAGTTTTTGGACATCATCACCCCTTCAGAACTTTATTTTCTGGGTCAAGTGCCGACCCCGCATGCGCATTTGAGTTAACTTTGGTGTGCGTAAGTTGGTGGGGCGCCATTGGGACTTATGGATGCAGGGTCAAACCCGATCTTGGCTTGCTCGACCTGTCCCACCAGCGAGCTCAACTTTGCCACAGCTGTGCCCTTGAAGGGTTCATGAGTTGTATTCATTTGATTCGCGTATTGGCTGGTTAGCCTATCAGCTTCGAGGATAAACAGTGGGGTCAAACGAAGATTGGACCCAGGTGCAGCCATGTGCCACCTGAAGTGAATCGGTCGCACATGAAGCAAATCCTCTTTCTGAGTGCACATGAAGCAACGAGAAAGGCCGTAACAAATCACCTTTGAGGCCAAGATGTGTCGGAAGACAACATGTGAACATAAGATGTCCATGAAAAAAGAACACTGATTCAGTGAGCAAAGTGATGAATTCAACCATATTCAGCCTTCAGCCCCCTCAAAATGAGTAAACGTATATCGTTTGAACACTTTTCACCTTCCTCCGCGTGCCTTCTCCGGCCATGGAGACCTTTGACGGGGAGCCTTTGCTGGGCGGACCTTGGCCCGTGCGATGTCGAAAGCTGCTGGGGCGGCTGGTGCTCACACCACGACGCTTGATCCATTTGCCAGAGACAGGGGAGGAGACCGAGACGGTGACGGTTTCGAAGGGTGGTAGAAAAAACAGCGATTTTAGATGATTTTAGGACCTGTGAAGCTGCTTGAATGGTTTTTTGTTTCTGTGCGTGTTTGTTGCTGCTTGAATGGTGTTTTGTGTTTGTTACATGTGTTTGTTCTGTGAAGCCCCTTCAAGAGAACCTATGAGGGATAGTTGAGATTAGGGAGTAGTTTGTGGGGTCCGTCAATTCAGCAAGCCCAATATATGTTTTTCTTTAAACATGTGTAGGTTGGAAGCTGTCGGAGCTGGTTCGTGAGGTTCCTCAAGTGGGAGTGGCCCTTGCAGTTTCTACAGTTTTTTGAAGAAGTACTTGTGTGGTGGTGAACTAGCTAGTGAAATGTTTTGATGAGCATTTTTCTCAGTTTGAAAGACGTTGAAAGGCCCTATGCAGATCGGCCAGGAGATCTTGTTGGAGATTCCTCTCACGGGGCCCATCACGGTGGAGATCACCAAGACAGATGGGTTTTTGCCTGGCAAGTTGTTTTGGTTGGAAGTTGATGGTGCAATTCCCAAGGCCCAAGGCTATGTGGATGAGGTATGGATGATGTATTTTCTAGATTTTGGAGTTGTGTCATCTCTTGGAGGGGTACTTGTTCAGGTTCAGGTTCTGAACCATTTAGTTTGTTTTTTTTCTTGGAAAGACTCCTAGCAAAGGTCCTGTCAAGCATGTTCAGATTTCCCTTGTTCATCCCAAAATCTTGTGGAAACCGAGTCAAGTACCGTTTACAAACCGATGTTGCAAAGCTTCGGCCACAAAACGTGTCATTATTTCCGGAGTCTTGTTTGCACTCTGAAACAGATCCAGTGATGCTAACCAGCTCCTGACATTCTCACTGCAAACCACGCCATGAGCCGTTCAACGTCGTTGGACACATCACAAGGAAGCGCCCCAATTTTGACAATGCGCTGGCACGTCTCTCGAACCTCCCTGAGATCCTGGGGACTCGGCTGGTCATCGAGTTTACGGATCAGAAGTGGCTCCACTTGAGGGAGTTCTCCGAGAAGATGAAGGCGCGGGAAGAGCAGGCACAGCTGTTGGGTCTGCAGGAGCAAAAGGAAGCGGCAGAGCTGGGGATGCAGATGAAATCGGTCTTGGGCTCTCAGGAGCTCAGTCAACAGTACCAATACCTGGTGAAAAACACCCAGGTCATGAGCATGGAACAGTTCTTGGAAGCACATGCCAAAGAAATCGCCCAAAGCACCCCTCTTCCAGAAGCGCCTTCCATGGACTTGGCCCCGTTGCGAGTGGTTGCCGCCGCCCATCGCAGTCAAGAGTTTGGAGCCGCCAGATCAATCAGCGAGCAGGACCAGGCCGCAATCTTCAAAGAACTTCCTGCATTAAGTTCGCTCTTCAGTGCCACTGTGCCATCCATGATGACCGAGGCCCAATTCTGGGAACGGTGCTTGAAGAGCCGCTACTTCCTGAATGCTGCAGGCAATGAGGTGCCTTTGTCCCATCCCGAAGACCGGCTTTTTGACTCCCTGCCTCCACCTGAAGCACCGACTCAGCCAGCCCTGGAGGCCTTGGCCTCTCACCCTGAGGCAGATCTCACTGGAGAATTTCAGCGCGACAAGGCCATGGAGGCCAAGAAGGCCAATGACAACCTCATCCGCCGCTTGAACGACCGCAGCGCCGGTATTCTGGCGGCTGCGAAGCAGGCGGAAAAGACCTCATCGGACGCAGTCGAGGACGCTGGTGTGGCGGGGAGAGTTTTGGAGAGTCTTCAGCAGCGGCGTACACAGCTCAAGAATGCAGCGGAGACTTTTCGAGAGGACCTAGCAGCTTCGGAGCCAGTGAAGGTTCCCAAAACTGCCAGACTGCAACTGAAGCCAGAGGCAGGTCGCATGCCTGTGCTGAACAGTTTTCCACAAAAGCGGCCTGCTGACACCCCTGTGCTGACACCTCACAAAGCCTTAAAGGCCTGGAGGACTACGGGAAGTGGCTGCCAGATTTCGGAACCCGGAACACGCTGGGTGCTCAAATCTGCCACGGAGGAGCTTTTGAAAGCTGAACGGCTTGCTGCGAAGATGGATCATGCAGAGGTCACAGCACCTGAGCCGGTCCAACAGGCAGGGCAAACCAATTGGCTTTGGCTCTACATGCTTGACCTAGTTTTCGACAATCCTCTCACATAAAATCAATGATCATTGATCATACAATTAATGCTTACTTATTTATTGCAATTAAAGGGCATCATCGAGTTTTGATCCATCACTCACAACAAAGCCTGCCTGCATGGACGGATCATGCCGCGGTTTTTTTTCTCTCCGAGCTCGTGGTGTTTCTCCCTCGTCACCGCGGGTCTCAGGCGGTCACACTGCTGCAGCATTTTTGGTCCAGCAGGTGCAGCGAGTCGGACTTGCGATCCAAGCTTTGCGAGGAGGCTGCCCGGTTGCTGGGTGCGCTGAAGGACTTAGTCCCCAGCTTGGAAGGACTGGCGGACCGGGCGGAAGAACGTGTGAATGCAGCCTCCTAGATGTGGACGTCTCTCGATGAGCTATGGGTATGGGTGTAGTATACAGGGTCCTTTTTGGGTCCGACCCTCCAAGAGCTCAGAGGCCATGCTTTGTTGGAAAGTGTAAACAGTAAACCTTGTGACTCCAGCCACTTTTGGTTTACAGACACTGCTTTAGACATGGAGCTTAATTATTCAACAACCATTTTCCCACAAGAGGATTTGGACTGCAAAGCGATGTAATTGTTTTTTGATTCCCATTCTTTCTCCTTGTGAGGAAAGGATCCCGCTCAGCTGGCCCGTTTGGCCATGGTGCGAGCTTTCTTATGGCCGCTGCAACGGGCCATTGATCTGCATAGTAAGAGCTGAAGCAAAACACAGCTGCCTGAGCAGCTGGACCGCGCTCAAGCAGTTGATGGGACTCAACAACCTGCTATGTTGGCCCCACCCAACAGACCAGGTCCGCACGAATGGCAGGTCCCCATGCCCCTATGCTCAGTATGCGGTTCCCGAGTTGGATTCCGAGTCGGATCGTGACTTTCAGAGAGGGTTTTCGTTGAGGTCAGTATGCCGCTGCCTTCTTGCCGCGGAAGTTGGTGGATTGTTGGATGTGGTAGGGGTAGGGAGTACCGGGTACCACTCAAGCACAAATGACCTGTTTTGTTGTGCCAAGAGGGCCGTTTTCGTGGCCAGTGTCAGACCATCAACTTCAGAAACGAACAACATGTATGCATGTATTATATAATATATTATGTAATTACATGTAATTACTGGGTATGCATGATTGTATGTGTCAGTTAGTTGTTGTCAATGATTCATGATCCTCAAATGTGCAGGCTGTGTCACTTCTTGAGATTGGTGAAGCATTGGGGAGCTGGGCACCCCATCTAAACTGGCGCATGCTTTGCCATTGGGCCATGTGTTTCATCGTTTTTTTCTTTGAACAATGCCGCTGCCACCGCCAGGTGGACTTTTTGGATGATTGGACCTTGGATTTGGAGGAGGATGTGTCCAACGCCGGGCTGCCCAGCTGCCGGGATCTCCCAGGCTCCAGAAAGCCCAGCCAATCCATGCCCATGCATATGCCATCGGCCGACAGATAAGAAAGCAATTCGTCGCCGATTTCAAGACATTGGTTCCGAGAGGTTCTATTTTTCTTGGGGTGGGGAACTGGGGAACAGGTGATGTCTTCTTTTTTGGGGGTGGGTTGGTGCGTGCTGAAGCTGTTGAAATGGTCGCTATGCAAGTGTTGGCTCTTCTGAGGGCCCTTGTACAGGTGAGGATGCATTGCCACCACCTGGTTCTGATGGTTTTTTTTGGGGTCCTGAAGGGCCCTGAAGAGCGCTGAAGGGCGTTGCTCCACTTGCTCGGACCCAGATCCCTGGCGCCAGTCCTGAAGCATCTCCGTGTGTTCAGCCATCACATGTTGGGCTCCAGAGGCGGCTTTCACCCAGATCATTCTTAATTATCTTAATATTGTGTGTACAATGGACCTTGCACTTCAGTGGATGCCACTTACTATTTACAAGTTTGACATTTGTAGCCTAGCAAAGAGATGAAAAGGGGTGCCTCAAGCTTGCTTCGCCTTTCGATTCAGCCTTGTCACAGCTCCAGCAAGACGTTCTGTTTTTTCGAACTGGACATATCCATCCCCATTTCAAAAGAAAAAAACACATGTCCCCTTTCCAGTTCGCTGTCCATCCCAGCACATTTCAGACCAAAAACACCCGATACTCCCCGCGACCCGTTCGTTCGGCGACCCGCTCTCCAGGTCAACGAGCCGCCATCCACGCCACAGCCGGTGTCGCCACGGCCCAGCTGGAGCAACGAGCGACGGGTCTCCTTTGCGCGGCGCGCCTCCGTCACGGGTGGAGTGCCTTGGAGTTTGAACGGGAGCGGACATGTCGGAGCAGTTGGGAATAGAAATTGAACATGTCGAGCCGGTGTTCATTGGTTTCCATTGAAAACATGGAAGCACTTCCAACAATAGCAAGAACTCATGGAGGTGGCAAACCCATGAAGTGGCACCATGAACTTTGTCGATGCTGTTTTCCGGCCGTGCCATCTACTTGGAGTGAGGGTGACTGTGGCCTAGCCGATGATCCTACTCCCATGAGCTGGCGCGGAGCACCAGAAACAAGGGGTGAGATGCCCCACCAACAATTGGCAGCGGTCATCATGTGATGTATCTTCAACACCGACACCCATAGCAAAAAGTCAGAGTTACAGTTATTCATCATCAATTTCTGTTGACGGAACCTCTCCTTCCAGTTCCTCAGTATGCCACCATCCAATCCCACCTCACCAAACTCGTTACAAAACCAAACGATGTTTTTCTTCACTGGATCACAACAGCTAGCTACCACAAGCTAAGCACCACTTAACGGCGACCAGAAAGCACCTTCTCTTCTACTCCGGGGCATCGCAGTGCAGGTCAAATCACGCGCGGTGAAGCTCTTGGAGAAGTCCTTGGACCGCTCCATGTTTACCGGCTCTCCGCCCAGCCCCAGTCCCGTCTGGAGCCCCAGTCCCGGTCCCGAGCATCCGGAGGGTGAGACGGGCCGCAAGGGTGAGAGGTGAGGGCGTTTTTTTCTTTCTCTTAATGTCTTGGTTTCTCGGGACGAGAAGGAGGAGATGGGGAGAGTTAGATTTGCAACACCCATCTTCAACAGACATTCATTGAATGTGGGGAGGGTTTGGGGTGCGCAGCGCGCTTAAAGCCCTCAGTGACAGGAGACATACCATTAACAGACCAAGTCGATGAACATCCGTGGCTTGATGGGACTTGGTGAACCATTTCCATGAATGCTTTCATGATGTATTTTGCAGTTTGGGACGTGCGTCATGGTGCTGCAGGATGAGGAGGTTGGGAGGAGGTGAGACAACGGCACAGGAGGTGAGCTCACCCATGGGCCCTGGGCAGAAGGAAGAATTGACCAAGAACAGAGTTTGGTTTATTGATGAATTCACAACATGAGTTGACTAAACTAATCGAAACTAAACATGAGTTCACCACTCTGTTATTGACAAGAAACTCAGAGTTTAGTTTAGTTCTAAGTTCATAACCTTCATGTTATTGACACATCATTGGCACATGCTTTCGAGACCCCCAAATTGCCCCGCTACCATCAGGCCGTGGAGAGCAGCTCCAGCAGCTCGGAGGATGAGACCGAGGTCGGGGGATCTCAGAGCAGCTCTGTGGACTGGTGGAGAGAATGGTCATCGGTCCCTTTTGTATCCTTTGGATCTTCCTAAGAAGGTGCAACACGTGAAAACGCGGGAAACAGTGCATGCTTGACAGTATCAACGGTATCAAGTTGTAATATGTACTTGAGGAACGCGTGTCATACGTATCGGCGTCCCTGGGAAATAGACATCCTGAATACCGAACAGATCCGAACAACCATTGTTTTACTAAGGGTTTTACACTACGAAACAAGGTCAACCCTTTTTTTGTGGTCTTTCAGTCTTTGAAGCCTAGGGAAGACATATTGCAAAAACAATGTACTTCAGGTGTTTGTCAAGACTGGGGCTCCCAAAGGCATCCCTAGTACTGTAAGCTGAAGCACCTGTGGGGTGCCCAAGAGATCCGTAAACTTCGAGCCAGCGAATTTCCACCATGCTCCTGCAAATGCCCGTAGAATAGTGGCCTTGCACATAGAATGCTATTTATTCATGAAATTGGGAACTCCAAGACGTGCACGTCAAAAGGATGGGTCAGATATTGGAAATCATGCGCAGATAGAATACACGCAGAAGATCTAAAATGCCGATTTGACATTGGCACAAGCTATGCAATTCCGCAACATTTGGCCCTCGAGCACTCTATATACTGTAGCTAGATAATGCTAGATAGTTGAATCTAGTTAATGGCCACGGGCTTTTTACCGATCAATCTTGGTTTGACAGAAGGTTGGAAATGAGGATGCTGGGAGAAGAGTCGCTGCCCTTAATTGCTACAAAGGTTGTGAGGAAAAAGGCTGCTTGTTGATCCACTGGCTTACCATGCGGCATTCTAGGGAAATAATCTAACTACAAGTCTTTCACACCTACTGATACTGATGCAAATATGAATCAACAAGATCTCCTTGCGTGGGAAGAGCCATGGCTCACAGCCAGCTGACGGCAAGACCAGAAGGAGATTCACCGACTGAAGAGTTGTGCGAAAAGCTGGTGGAAGGTGCAAAAAGCTGAAGGGCAAGACAGTGCAGATGAGCAAAGCATCTACAGTGTCCAGGCAGACAGCTCAAGGCACAACAAAGAAACCAGCAACGCGATGGCCCCAAGGCAGTCAATCCAAAAAAACCAAGGTGCGGGCAGCTTACAGGCCGACAGCTCCGAGCAAAGCACCGAGACCGCACATGCAGACAGCTCCTTCACAGAAGAAAAAATCCTGGTGTACCAACAGGTTCTTTGAGGGGCTTTTCTATGCCAAGAAGTAGCCTCTTAAATGATTGCTTCATTTAGTTTGATCCTGTCAGGCTCTCCAAAAGCAACATGTTTATGTTCAGAACTTCAACTACCAGATCTGAGGCAGCCCGAAGAAGCGGCAGCAGACAATCGGGCCGGCTCCTCCCAAGCTTGGTGACTGGCATGGGGTTGAATGGGGGACATGGGGGGAAGTGTTGTGTTTGTGAGCTGCCGTCCTTGAATCCGAACATCATGGAGCTTTGTGTCAGCTTTGCTTTTGCAGGCTTCAGGTTTACTCTCGGAAATGCGAACAGAAAACCATGTCGTTGATTGCCTGCTGATTTGCAGAAAGGCTACATTGCTTCAGAAAGCAAGGCCGGCGGGGCAGAAGCCGTTGAAGCGGCCAAGAAGGTTGATGAAGTAGAGGATGCCGACTGTGTCACTGAATGCTTGCAACCTGAAGCGCAGTTGCAACAAGCCGTGGAACTCTACGGTTGCAAGGGAGGCGCGGGAATTTGTAAAAGTACCGCTAGCAGATCAGCTTCGGAAACTGAAATGCCGATCGGATGTGCGCACCTACTGTCACAAGTATGACAACACTATTCTTCCCACATCGCGGCGCCAATTGGACATCGCCATGGGTAGGCTGCGTGGCCTGCAGGCAAACTAATTGGAAGAGGTTGTTAGGTAATGGTAGGTATGACAGATCTAGATGGCGAGCTTTTATTGCTATATGATGCTATATTGTTTCCAAAGTGAAGGGCTACATGGACAGCACTTCGCGTGCCCGAGCTTGACAGAAGACACGCAGTGGCACAGTGGAGCTAAGGGAAGATACGAAAGAAGCTGATGCAGCTGCAAGTCTTTTTTAGTTGAGGGAGCGGGAGCAAAGGTCTTTGTTGCAGAGCAGCGCAGATCACTTTGCAACAATCCGGCTTCGCATAGACAATGCGAAGGTCTTGGGGCAGATCTGCCGCAGAGCATTGTCGACATTTTGCAAAACACGCGTTTGCCCGGACGAAGCCCAAGATTGGTTTTGTGCCACTGAACAGATGACTAGTTACGGTGGGGTTCTATTGCCACTACTTTGCAGATGGATCAGGGATTTCAATGCCTCAGTGGTTTGCTTGAAAATCTTTCTGTAACGCGCTGAGCCAGTGTTGTGGGCAGATTGTGGTCCACATGTTTGCTTACACCTTGGAGATGACATCGGCCATTGCTTGGCCCAAGGGAGCTTTCGCGTTGCGTTTCCCAGCAATAGTCCCCATTCCCCATGTGGTTTCTTAGTTGTGTGCCCATGCGGTAACGCTCAGGAATTCTTGTGGAACTGAGCGGAACTTTGCAAAGATGGATCTGGGGCCAATGTTCCCTTCCAACAAGCATCAGTGAACCTTTGCTGAGCACCACGGCAAGGGGTGCTGTGACGGAGCTCGCGGACTGCAGCAAAGATGGGTCGTGGATTGCATGAGGGAGCGTACGATTTCCTGTCCAGAAGACGCGCGGGCTGGCAGTATTCTGCATGGGATGCAGTAGGCTGTGCATAGATCCTCCTCCAGTTGGTCCGAGTTACTTTGTCAAAACGTTTGTGCCACCTAAGCCCCGGACGACAAAGAAGTTGGATGTGTCAGCAAACAAAATCAAAATCAAGAGTTCTTGCTGCATCATGATAGAACGCATTGATGGTGGTCATGGTTTTCTCCAATAGGCTGCGTGGAACGCCACAAGTCAGTGAACCCTCTTGAAGGGGGTGAGCCGACGAGATCCGTACCTCTCCGAGCTTTTGCGAAGCAGCCAAGAGAGGCGCAAAGCAGAGACGTGCAAAAGCTGCTTTGGCTCCGGACTTGCAAATATTAGAGTCCGGTTCAAGCACTTCCTCCAGCGACAGCGCGACAGCAAGTGAGAGTGTGGAAAGCAGGTCGTCCTGTTCTTGTGCTGGGGTGGCGTTTGGTGGGAAAGCAGTTTCGAAGCATACCTTTTGAACTTACCTTGCAACATACACCGAAACATACCTCTGGACTCCGAAACATCTCCGAAACATACCACCAGGTTCAACAACACGTACTGCTGCCCACCCTCATTGCGGAGACGCCCATAGGGCCATAGGGAAAATAGGTTGGGAAGATAACTTGTTTGGCAAGCTGTGCAAGTTGCAGCACGTTCCAGCCCTAACGCCATCATCGCACGAGAGAGTTACACTTACAATGGGAACTTTGGTTGGCATATAGGGATGGTAGAGTGAAACTATTCAGTTATTCGACCTTTTTGTTGGTTCAAGATCCCCAAAGGCATTAAACTAAAATTTGATAATTTCTTTTGTATACAGTACGAATTCATGACACCAAAAAAAAATATATTTTTACACTACTTATCAACTACCCTTTAAGGCATTTCTTGCCTGAACAAAAAAGTCGGTCTAAGTTGGTTTGCTGTGTTTGCCTCGCAATGGTACTTGTTTGGGGCTGCCAGAATTGATTCAACCACCTTGGGTTTCCTTGACGGCTGAACTTGTCATGTAGAAGCGGGGTCCTTCGACCCCCAACCCTTGAATCGCTGTTTGAATGGTTTCCAGTTTGTTATAAAAATTTCCCATTTATCTCATCGCTTGCCACACTGCAAATACAGTAAGGCCCTGGAAAATTACATAGGATGGAACCTGAAATATTTGAAATGGACCTTTGGACAACTATTTTCTTTACAACCCCGCCAGTCGTTTTCAAGTTCCATGTGAACGGCGTCTCTCATTGGTTTCGTCCCATCCCGCATCATACCCTATCCGCATGGGTGCGGAATGCGCGGAGGTGTTCCTGGCTCAGCGCTGGCGTACGAAGGCGCCCATGGAGCTCGTCGCCTTGGCCTCTTGGGTTTTCATTGGAAGAAACCGGATGCATGGGACCAGCATGACTAAGATGAGAAGTGGTTTGAAGCAAGAGTTTTGCAAACGCATCCAGTGGCACTGGCACTGTTAAAAAAGACATGTCCATGGGCAGCGATTTGATTACACATGTTTTTCGGACTCGGGCTCGGCTGAACTGTTCCACCCTGATTGTTTTTGGGAGTGTAGTGTTTTGATGTGCCTTGTGTGGGAACAAAGTCTAAAGTCTAAGTGTATTTGAGGGACCGCATTTTGTCAGTATGTATAGTTTGCCTGGTAGTGGTTGGGAAGGATTTGGAGGGCTTTGCGTTGTTGGCGACATGGACCAGCTACTTTGAGCCTGCTAATTTTGAGACCCCTAAACTAAACATTGTTGCTCACAATAGTTCTTTGGGCTGCAGGACCAAGGACACTTGTTTTGATTTGGTTCGAGGATGTGTGTTAGGTCCTTTGAAGGAAAACGACCTCACCATCTCACCGTTCCATCACTGCAGTCGCACATGTCAAAGCAGTTGCCAGCACATTGAGGCGAAGAAGGTTTTGCCCAAGAAGCAACCCAGGCCTTTCGGGGGTTGGACGTGTTTTCACCATTCGGGACATAATGAGCCTGAGTCTCCGAGAGAGAAAGACCACGCCCGCACTACGTGGCCACAACAAGATAGAACAAGCGAACACAAGATAGAAACGCAGATATTTCTGATCTGAAGGTAAGGTTCTTTTCTCCCTGGTTGCACTCTGGAAAAGCTACGGTACAGTCATGATATGGAGTTGGAGGGCAGCACTTCTTAAGCATTCAGCCCTGTCAAGGGGGCCAAGTGCTCTCTCAAACTACTGGAGTCCACGAGTTCGAGAGGTTTTCTTTTCTGGGGGAAAGATGCCAATTCTTGGTTCTAAGCAAACTGAATACGATGTTTTGATGCCTTTTGAGTCCAAGGTGGTCTTCATAGCTTGTCGGACGAAGACCTGCAGCATTCAAGAAACCCAAGACTCTCTTGAAGACCTTGAGCATGATTTTTGCGAGGTTCTACATGATGAACGGATCTGTGACGGAGCGTCAGGCTCGGACAGCACCGTGCGCAGTTGGGTGCAGCCCCTGGCATAGCAACCCATACCAAAGGCTTTCCATGATAATCTCCCTCGATGAATCGTTCACACCGCTGCGGCGGGTTCGTTCAGTGTTCTCATTTGACGTGACGCATGTTGCTCAAATGGTTTGCTTGGCTGGAGAAGACATGAGAAGACCATGTCAGGACATCGATGCGGAGAGATGTGTCAGACATTCTCAGACATGTGAGTCATATGGCCCATACGATCCCATACGGCGCCGACATGTTGGCTTAGTTGGATAATGATGGCGCCGCTCCTTGTTCTCTGACATGAAAGTGGATGGGCCCCCTTGCCTCTGCACACCGATCCCACCTCTCCTGTCTTCTACGGTGCGTCTCACCGTCCAGGCCGCCGACATCTCTTCGGTGCACACCTTGAAGCCGGAGGACGCAAAAACCATCAAACACGTGTGACACGGCCGCACGACTTAGCACCAGTCGTGTCAGAGAGTTTGTGTCCTGATCAGAGATGAAGAAGTTGAGTAATCCTCAAGTTTCACGTCATTATGGGGTTGTGTTATGTTACATTGTGGCATTTTCCGTGCTTACTCGCAAGTCTGGGAAGCTGTCTAGCTACAGGTGTGGCCACGTAGGTAGCGTAGCCCTGGAGGAGCTGAGGGAGAGTTTGTCCATCAGCATCCCTCCGGAGGCGATTGGCCAAGCGCTCGGGCCGGCGTGCGTTTTCTTCCAGCGTCGGCAGTGGATGCGCCACTTCAGCGTGCGATGAAACACCACTTCTGCCAGGTTCCTCCAGGTTTTCCTGTGCACTGATGAAAACGTGACGGAGCTCGCTCATGGATGACGTGTTGTTTGTTTTTTTTTGTTTCTTCTCTCTCCATGTCCTTTCAATCTTTCACCCTGCGTCAGTGGTTTCCAGATGGTGTCACTTAGCGTTTTGGCAGATTGTTGCAATCAGATGAAGCATGATCATGTAGATTGAGTCATTTGAGCCAGCTGCTGACAAGGATCCCAAACGAACATGCCAGGACAAGATTGAAACGCCGCAAAACTGCGGCAAAACCGCAGGCGATGGAGGAGATGCAAAACACCCGGACGTCTGCTTTGACCTTCAGCCTGGACACGGCCACATCAGCCTTGAACTTCAGCCTGGAGACAGCCAATTTGTCCTGCACTGGATGTTTGATGAGTTTCCGGGTGGGTTAGACTGGTTGGACTAGACAAACGGTTAGACTGGTGGGTTAGACTGGTTACCTGTTAGACTGTTAGACTGTTTGTTTATTATAGCTACTTGTTCCTAGTAGCGTCCTTGCTCCTAGTAGTTAGGCCAGGAGCCCCTAGTAGCGTCCTTGCTCCTAGTAGCGATGCCAGGAGCCCCTAGTAGCTTCCTGCTACTACTTGTTGTTTTCTTTCTCTCATTGATTGCCTCAAGATGTTGCTCGCCGACCGGCAGGCAGATGACTCCTTGGCCGACCAGGGAGGCAGTCGACAATACCTGGCACAGGCGCGTTCGGGTCGGATGTCCGGATCCTCCATCGTCTTAAGCATCTGACCTGGTCGGAAGGATAGTGGTGAACCACAGCGAAGCTGCCACAAGATGATCCAAGATGATGGGAACATGCTGCAAGTTCTAGACAAAAGGGTCTACTGAAGGAACAAAAGATCAGACATCCACATCCACCTTGTTCTTAGTGCGACAGGCAGCTCACCTTGTCATCAGCTGTTCTGGATCAATGACAATGAGGAACATCCAACATTAAACTGGCAAGCTTTGTAAACCATCAGTGCACCCCACTGAGCAGATCTGATCCCATCTTTGGAGGTCTTGGATTTGGAGCAGCTCGTGGAGCTGGGCCCCCGCGCCACCACGGCGCCAGCGAAGCTGAGGCAGGGTTGATATGGGTGGAGTCTCTCTAGCCATTTGCTGGGACATTCCATGCCACCATGCCAAACGTGCCCTGATCCATGGGCAGGATGTGGTGCTTGGGAGAGGCAACTAGGTAGAGCGGTCGCAAGTCCAAAGTACTTTGGTCAAAGAACAGGAGGACATGCACATCTCCCAAGACAAAACGTTCTTCCTGGAGTTGGCTAGAGAGAGAGAGAGAGAGATCCAAATGGGTTTGCGAGACCACAGCTGGATCGTTGGTCCCTCCTAAGATTAGTGTATTTTGCGTTTGTGATGATGGAACATTCTGCTCCTGATGCATGTTTGTTTGCGGGAGGCATGTGCAATGTAGAAGTAGAAACAAACCAGGTATAGGACACATCAGGCACCGTTTGTGTCCGACGTTCCGAAGCCAGGACCGCTTCCGGGGCACGGCTGCGTTTGAAGGCCACACTGTTCCGCGTGGTGGGTTCCGCGGAAAGGCAGTGATTCTGGTCTTCAGGGTGGCAAGATTTAGTTTTGACATGTTTTGACCCTTTGCAGCTCCTTCTCAAAGTGTAACAACTGCGCCGGATGGCTTGCGACGGCTTGCTTGTGTTGTGGCAACAGGTACTAGCAGATGTGCGTTGAGCAAGAGTATGCTGCAGTATGCAGGAGTCAAGGATTGGCAAATCTCCGGGTGCAAACCTCTGGGGAATCATTTTGGACTCCCTCCGGGTGTCCGGGGGTCAAGCTGGGATGGTTTGGTGGCCCCGCCCTTATATGAGGGGAATTGTTAGGAACCAGCAACCATCTCCAAAATCATTTGAAGCGAAATCCTGGCTTACCCCCAAGTGTGCGAGATGGTGGGAGATGCATGTAGGTCATTTGGCATTTTGGCATCCCAGCAGCTGCAGCTCAACCATTTGTTTCCGTCTCTTCTTTGAAGTGAATATGCCTCCATGTTGGTTGCCAGGCCGCTCATCCCCGGCAGTGGCCGCGAGCCGCGCCGCGGGCGGCGCCGCGGGCGGCCCCGCGGACCCCGCTGGGTGCGGTGCGCGGGGAGACGCCGCGTCAAGCGCCAAGGGGGTCGCCATCCTTGGACGATCTGCTGATGGGGCCCTGTGGCCCTGACACCCGGCAAAAGCTCGCAGGTTGAGCAGATTGAGCTTGGTTGACTGGTTGGTTTGGCCACATGGAAGTCCGTTTTAGAGTCTGAATTACATCTTGTGTTGATACAAAGCTTGAAGAAAGCGAACCGGTGGCAAGTTGGATGAGTCAAAGCTGGTTGGAAGCATGTTTTGGTCTTTGGGATTGGTCTATTTCCAGTCCACCTCAGCGGTGGTGTTTGCCGCTGTCGATTACCGCCATGGGCAGACAGACCAGCGAGCTGAACTGATTCCAAGTGTTCTATCATGTTTTTAATCACTTGGTGATACTTGATTACTCACTCATCATTGGATATCATTGGAACGTTTTCGGGCACTCTTACTTTTAGGCCAACCTTGTACTGGCGCCGGTGGGTCTTGGAACCGTGGGGACGGCGATGTATGAGGAGAAATCACATACAAATCGAGGAAGTGGTTTGTTTCAACCAATTTGTAGGGTCGGAGTTGTACTTGAAGAGATGTCGTTTTCATAATCGCTAAGTGAGCTGACATGTCATAAGTCATGATCTCAGCTCACTTCGGTGACCTTCGGTGTTTCATTTGTTTCATGGACCATGTGTCGTGCGCTGCGCGAAGCAAGGCCAACTTGTCCTTGATGCTATTGCAAGATCGTGGTGTTGCACTCAGTTTTTTTGGTGTGTGTGTTGTGCGGCTCATGGTTCATGTTGCACTCAGATGTGCATGGTATCCATGTAGTCCATACCGTGTTTTTCTCCGTGTCCAACTTTGTACCATTTTTGCTTGCCACTTCGGTGCCGCTCACGGCCTGAGGCAAAGTGGGCTCCTGTGGGGCCAGCCGCAACATCAAGATTTGCTAAGTCGCGATTGGCTTTCCACCCTGAAGGGGTGGCTAATCACATGGCCCTGGCTGTGTTTCTGCATGATACCGATCTCCGAACTCCCAAACACTCTGGGCCAAGCTCCGAAAGACTTCAGCAGTTTCAGTTTCAAGATCATCCGAGATGAGTGAGATTGATATTCAGACCTGCTTCCATTTGGTTGAATATTATTGTATGATAAATGATACTTAACAATATATATAAATATGGATGTGTGTTGGGTCTGTCCTATTACCTGTACCAGTCGGTAAACAATGATCACTAGTTATTTTGGAACAAGGCCGGCCTTTACTAAGCATCATCATCCACTGAAACCCGGTAATGGGATAGACCCAAGATATATGGATCACACCCATGGCCCAAAGGGCCGATGTACAGGAGAATTGGGAGCCTTGTTGGCAGAACTTCCTGCCAACATGGCTCACTTCTGAATGTGTGCTGACTGGGTTTGGGGGATGAGAGTGGCAGTGGGCACGAGCAAAGGTGCACACAATCGCCGTGGTTTGGCACTAAGTTGGGTTTAGCAAGTTAGCAAATTGTTGGCATCTCAAAGACCACAGATTGAGCAAATCTCAAGCAACTCTGGGAGCAACAATGAGTTTGCACACAGGTTTAGGTAGGATTCCCGGTCATGTTCATCGCTTTACAGGCGAGAAAAGACAGGTCTCATGCGCTGGGAGGCTACGAGGCATGGGCTCCTGCCAGATCCGATGGAGCGTCCAGCTGTGACCTTTTGCTTGGTTGCAATTTTTCCCAGCCCCGCTGAAGACTAACATGGAGTCTGAAAACATTTGAAAACCATTGATTTGTAAAGGACAACAGTGGGACTCAGGGTGCCAAAACCACAGGGTCCATTGGTCCATATTAGTTTTCGGCAATTTTTGCCCTGTTTTGCCCAGCTCCCCGAAAACCACTGATTCGACGTCAGCTGGTGGGCCCTGTCGACTGCAGCTGGTCACCTTTGCGTGGTGAAATAGATGGAGGACACATGTTGAGTTTATGGCAAGCCTTTAACTGGTAGTTATTCACAATGAAGCAGTGTTATTATGTTTACTGCAATCAACCCACGTGGTGGGTGAAGCCCTTGCGTCACCCCTTCCTTGGCTCCTACTTCTGCGCCTGGCTCCGAAACCCAGGAAGTCCTGCCATGAGTCCCATCGCCGTGACTTCGGTGGACTGCAGCAGCTGGGGAGATTGCGAATGCAGGGGAAATGGCAGGAGGCGAGGGGACGGAGCCGCTTTGGGTGTTTTTGGTACGGGATGACGGGGGTTGGACTTGCAGGCATGGCTTTTGACCTCTTGCGCATGATGCGGATGATATTTGTTTGAGGGTGTTTGGGAAGGGTTTTTTGCTGAAGGCCAGATTGGTTTGGTCGCCTGTTTTGTAGCGTTTGTAGCCACATTTTGAGCAACATTCCACCATATAGCGACATGGCTTGTTCTTCATATGCGCCTTTAAGACTTTAACCCGAATGGGGCTACCATTAATATCCATTAACAATGAAAGCAGGACCATGTGCAAATCTACTAAGATGCAATACTCTCCGCGGAGGGCTTTCTCCATTGGCAAATTGGAGTGAGGATAACTTTTTGCAGAGGAAGACTTTTGTGAGGACCGGATGCGGGCACAACTGGAGCAGAGAAAGCACAGTCCTGGACCCTGACTCACTGTGTTCAAAATATGTGTTCAAAGGCTTTTTGGTACCCTGATCAACCCTGGTGTTTGTCGCAAGTCATCCCTGAGACATCACATCTCGGTCACTAGGGAACATGTGGACACCATGCAACAAGAGAGAGAGTGAGAGAGAGGAGTTTCGCTTGTTCAAGGCGGGCCCATACGAGCTAGGCCTTGGAGCTTTGGCGCTTGGAAGGCAGACTTGAAGCGGCAGCTTGCTCAGAGGCCAGAGATTGCAGCTTGCTTTCTTGGGCTGTGATATCTTCTTCTTGGTTGTTGAGCCAAGAAGTGTTGTTTATTGACTTTAGAGGATTCTTTGAACCTTACCAAGGGCATACAACATCGCCCTTGGAGCAAAATCCCAGTTCTTTGCCCAATTGCCAGGTCTTGGGTGTAATGGTGCGGCTGGGTTCAGCCAGAGAGGCCAGCCGGTGATTGGAATGAATTCCAAGACCTTGCCCGACAGACACTCCTTCGACGGAATGGGTTCCGAGGAGCTCATCCTGACAGTTTTTCTTGCCTTTGCACTGGAACTCAGCATGTGCACGTTCATCTACAGTTTCCCACGCCAATCTTTGTTTGTTTGTTTGTTTGTTTGTTTGTGAACATGCAGAATAGCATCATAGCTAGCTCATGCGCTGCTGATGACCTAAGAATCGAGATCCCTTCCTGCACCTTCCTGCCCTCTATCTTGAGGAACTCTAAGTTCAAACATTGATTTTTCCAGAATTGAACAACTAATGACAACTGACAACTATACTTGCCATTCATTTTTCAGAAATCCTACATCACCTGGGGGGTCCTTAAAAGCATAGGGATGCTCTCTTACCATTGTTCTCCTCCAAGAATCTGAGATTGTGAAGGGAATCTTCCATTGCAAAGGATTGAGAATAGATGGCACAGACCCCAAAAGGATCTAAAAGGTGGTTTATATGGACCCCCATCTAAAAGACATCACTGTAAGAGTATATGTTTTTCCTGTGAGCTCAGTCGCGCCTGTGAGCTCAGTCGCTCCCTTTAGGCTGCACAGCTTCTCCGCGACATGCATGATCAAACGGTTCAGTGAGGCCCCCGGTCGAATGGTTCCTGCGAAACTCCGCCAGACGAGCGACATCACACGAAGGGTAGCTGGTGGCAGGTAGCCCAAATGGAAAGCTGGTGCGACCATGGGTTGCAGGACAGGTTTCCAGGGGTTAAGTGTGGCTTTTGGAAAATGGTGGGTGATTAGAGTGCAGGCTAACACTCAAGAGAACGTGCTTCGTGGCCTCACCTCTACTGTGGTGGAGTAGCTCCTGACAGGAACTACCCTGGTAAGCAGACCACTCCACGCTTTGAGACCACGCCACGCAGACGAATGAGCAAGCCTAGTGGCCACACTAGAAGGAAGTCAAATCCACTAGGCTTCAGAACCCCTGTTGGGAGGGTCCCTTTCTTCTCAAGTGGCGGCTCCTGTAGCCTCTTCTCCATGGGCTCCATGGGCTCCTGTAGCCTCTTGGCATCGCTGAGGCCCAATGATTTGGCCATTGGTCGGGCCATCTCAGCCTGTGTGAATGGTGGTGCTTGGGTCTGGACCCTCAGAATTCACGGAGCCAGAGCTTCGATGGGTTCATTGGATGGGACACATTGGGCGCCCAAGAATTCATAGCAGGAAGCCGGCTGTCAACAGTTTGAGTCTAGAGGTGAGGAACAATCAAGCCTTTGTCACCGTCATGTTCCTCAGAGCTCAACACGAGTGAGTGGATCTCACCCTATCAGCTACAAGAAATTTTTACAGAGCCATTGAATGTATTTGGCAAATCCCACGGGATGTGGCATTTTGCAGATGATTCTTACTTACAACATTGAAGGCGTGGTATGTAAAGAATTGAGCGATAAATAGCTTTAGTATGCTTTAGTGGATGCCCTTACCACAGGATGTGCCGTTGACGTCTTCAAGATGAAGGCCTTTCTTTCAGGTGATGCCCCTTGCAGATGGGGCGTAATTTGCAGCATCTTTTGGGACATGGCCTTTTTTTATGACTCACTCACTAGTCCAAGGCCATCACGGAGCGCTCCGCGATTGATTGATCCTCCCTCACCTGCCTTCAGCCTAGGAGGAAGCCATCAAGCTCCTTCTGGAGGTGGAATTATGGAGCCTCGGAGCCAGGCTGAACACGGCTTCGTTGGTTCTGGCATGATCTTTCACCGATAAAGAGCTCGCCCACCGGATCCTTCGGTCGTAAAAGCTTGTGCAAGCATGATTGTACAAGCTGAGCATAGACACAAACTCTACTTGCACCATTTGCCGGAAACGAGAGTTTCAGAGTTTCTATATAACCCATTGCTATCAGGTCACGTGCCTAGATTAAAGAACTTTCAATTCGCACCAATTTTAGCATTTAGAAGAATCCAACGTTCCCATCAAAAACTGGTACGTTCGATGGTACAAGTACCCTAGGCCTCCAAGTCCCCTCACCTTCGAAGGTGGGACTGGGGTGGGTGCCAGGAGGGTCCAGTCATACCGAACCTGAGGAGCGCCTGGCACCTTCGAGCGCTCCGCCCAGGCACCTTCGACCCAATGCGGTGGCCTACAACGCGGCCCTGGGCGCCTGTGGACGCGCCTCCAGTGCTGAAAGTGCTTTGCAGCTGCTGAAGCGGATGGATCAGTTGCAGGCGGGTTTCTCACAGCGGAGCCCAGGCACTTCAATTGAATTTCACGGAATACTTCTTGTTGAAGAAGCGCGTCTTGGTGGAAAACTACCGTGGAAGACTGCATCAATTGCCCTTTGGAAACAGAACTTGCACATACTTGCACTCTGGCAAGATTTACTAATACTATTCAATACAGTGTTTCTTCTTCCCATGAGAGCTCCTGGAAGTCTTGCCTCAAACCCCACATATCCCACAGTCCCACGTCCATGGCAGCTGTGTTTGGAACAGTTCCACCTCCGCCCCTGCGCTGTTTGCTCCACTGGTGACCCTCGCAGATCCAGCGGACCAAGCGCACCTACGGAGCCGCCATCGGTGCATGCGGGCGCGGGTACCAGTGGGAAAGCGCACTAGGCCAGCGGAGAAGAGTCCAACGGCCGATGAAGTTCGTTGAGCCACGCCAAAGAAATGAACTCAAAATTGGCTAGAAAGGGAGGTACGTGTGTTGTTGTCTTTTGTTGGGTAAGTTGACTTTCTATCACTGCGCTTGACTCCACATCCCAATGTTTAAGAGACTGAGAGACTGTGAGTGTGCACTGTGTTCATGGCTGATCATCATGACTCTGGGATTTCTTCTTCAACGAGTTTTCCTCTTCTAATTTGCATTGCCTTTTTCCCAATTTGGCCTATCTACCCGTAACTGGGCTTCATATGATATATTCAAACGCTCCTTATCAAAGGGAAGGCGGGATGGCGGAAATCCCTTTTTCTACAGGCAAAGCAAAGGAGGAGCCAACTACTAATTCAGCACGCTGACCAAGCAGGGAAGATAATTTGTTCAATAAGAGGAGTACCTAATCAAAGGCTGATTGATGCATTGGTTTTCTGACGGCCAGCAATCTCCAAATGCACCCTTAGTAACAAGCAAAGCTTTGCAAAATGCAGGAACCTACCAGAAAAGAGCAGTTTGTTTTTAGACTAGAGTGAGCGTCTGGGGAGCTAGGAAAGTTGTTAGATGTTTGATGATGTTCGGTTCTCAAAGGTAGCCAAATTAAGTCATATAATATGGACGACTCATGACGACTCGAACGATTCAAATCATAAAATATGTTATATATATAGCTTGGCGGAGGAATAGAACTTCTTGTTGAGAACTGTTGAGGGGAGAGGATAAACCACCGATTGATTGCAACCGCAATGAAGAGCTGATTTAAAGGAAGAAGAGTTAACTAATAACAGTACAGGAGACACACCAGACGATGACAAGAAAACTTGATATATAGACGTAAACAGACGCTGATCGATCATTCTACATTTAGTCTAGGTCAGGACCAGTTTCCAAAAAAGAAATCCTTGGGGGTCTTAAGAAGATGCTTGAAGTTTGAAAGAACTAAACAAAGCAAAGCAACTTGACCAAAAAAACGCCATGTGAAGATTGAGGCAACTTACTGGGGCGATGGAAAAGCCTATTGAAACTGGGAACAACTTGTAGGGAAGATTGTTGATGAGAGAGGAAGAGTTATATTTATACATATAAAAGTATATATATATATATGAATGAACCTATGATCTTGAACGCAGTGAGAGAGCTTACCAATAGTGGACAAAGAAGCCAAGAAGGAAAGAGCCACTGCTAAAGTAGGAGTATTGCTAAGTCAACGGCATTTTGACAGCATAAGCATACCAAAACCAACCAAACATTACAAGGCAAAGCGTTGATATGATCTGTTGGAACAATTTTACCGCCCAATACTAGATGTTCCGCACATATCCATTGTTGTTTGGTTGATTGCCTTGTGAGGTAGTTGTCACAAAGTGGGGTGCAAATGAAAAGTGGTATGCAAATGAAATGGCCTCATAAGTGCTTCATATGTAAAGCATGGTATAGTGCCAAGCAGTCTCATTGCTCAGCACATGCAAAATGCCTACGCTGTGGGTCCCCTTTTCTATAGTATATATATAAGATATATGTGTTTGTGTATTTTTACGTAGTCCCGAATGCTTCAAGTGGGGTTGCACGACTCATACTTAGAGCTTGTTTTGGACCCTGGACAGTTGAACGGGCAATGCTCGCAATAGCAGTGAGCTCCTCGACAGGCTTGTTGGACGAAATGCCGCTTGGCAGCGTTGGTGCCCCAGCCCTTGTTATTGCAGAGATGTTTAGCAACATATTGGATATACAGTTGTTTCAGAGTAGATGGCACAAACATGCACAAACCCATAGATGTCATTGAATGTCTTTGGTGTTGGGCTCCAGTTAGAGCACCGACATTGGGGATTGCTCCATCTACTCTGAAACCACTGTGTTTGGATATGCTTGTATAAACATGTTCTTTAAACACTGACTGCATCGATCACACCGGAATCAGTCCACCCTTGGGAGGTTCGACCATCTCTTTGTGGACCCACCCCTTGCGAATCGACACGCCTCAGGCGGCGAAGCAGTCGAGGTCAGGAGCTCAAGATCATCCAGACTGCTACTATCGGCTACTGTATATTGCAATACAGATGTACATATAAACAGCAACAATCGTATTGATGATGGTTTTAATGCATCATTGTCTACATTATAATATATACCATGTGGCAATTGCAACTTATAGATGCCTCTTTTCTGTGCGGGGTTAGGAAGAACGTGGGGGAGCACCGGGGCAGGTGCCGACGACGTGGCGCATGCGGGCACCGTGTCGGCGTGCGCCCGGGCAGTGGCCTGGCGCCAGGCTTTGGAGCTGCTGAGGCGGGTTTGTGGGAGGAGCCCTGTCGTGCGTTTGAAGTGCAATTGACATACATAATTGACCAATTACGTGTAAACCCCAAGATTGGCACCTGTCAGTTGAAGGATAGAATGGATAGACTTATACACTCAAGTACTGCCATTCATCAACAATGTCGTCTTTGTGCCACTTGCTGCTGGTGGTTTAGTGCTAGAATTTGCTGGCAAAGATTCAGATTTAAATTGCTGCGCACGTGGCACGTGATGCCCTGTAAATCAGCAAGATCACTTGACGCACAAAATATGAATCCTTTGATTCTGATGCTCTTGTGATTTTAAGACATCCTGCACCAGACCATTCATAATGCATCCGGATGCTAAGCATCAGGTGGGTTCCTCAAGACTAGAGCTTTCATACTCTCTTACGCGTTTCGATGACAAGTATGACGTTCGTGGGTTCCTTACCAACGTCATTCAAGGAACCCACAAAAGGCCACGTTCCCCAGAAGGCCACGGGTCGTCCGCCGACCCCGAAGACCATTGACACGTGGAAGACCTGTTTCCATGTGGTCCGACCTGCAGGAGGGGATGGACCCCAAACGGAACCCTGTTGCCGTTCTTCTCGAAGCGTTGCAGTCGACCTTTCCGTTGGTAACGGAAAACAGGTTCACAACAGAATCTGGGCACCAGGGATTGCCTGTCAGGCCAGAGGTCAGTGACTGGATGCCATCGCCACACACCTACCTACAAGCTCAAATGAAAGTGCAGAGGACATCAGAGGACTTTCATTTGGCCTTGTGGTTGTGATCCTTTTCAGTGCAAGAGCTTTCGCACATGTGGAGGCAACCCCCCTCGTGACACTTCAGTACCTGAATGGTGCAAACCCAAGCTAGTCTTGCATGATGAAAGCGATGATGCTGAGCTGGTCCACAGCATGAGCACAATAGCGGACTTTTTGGCTTCAACTCAAGTCCGCTATATAATTACTTGACTTCAACTTCAAGTCCTTGAGCAAAGTGCTCCAACGAGTGCTCTTTCGATTTTTCCCACAAGCACCGGAAGAATCTCAACAAGCCTTGGCATGCCTGCGACCAGCTTGAGGCCATGATGGTGCTTGCAATACCATGGCTGGAAGGATAGCGAAAAGTACACATAGTACACCAACATTCTGACAAATGACCTCTGCTTGTCATGTGCCCTTTGCCATGTTCAGGATTTTGGCCTCAATCATCATATCAAGCCATTTTGGGGAGCTGATCAATCTCTTGCTGCATGCTTGGCGATATATATATATATATATATATATTTAATCTCGCATCAACCAATTCCTGCAACTCATCTTACCAAACCTCTTTGTGGAACTCGTCCTGGATACTTCATTTCTAGAAAAACATGTGGAAGGTGTTGTCGAGACCTTTTGACATACGTTCGAACGATATGCTTCAACATGTCAAGCTCACCTGGGAGACCATGTTCTGCGAACTCTCATCCATTTTCACATCAAGAGCCTCATCTCCTTTGCTCAATTTGAAGCTCATCTCCTTTGGGATTGCCTGCCAGGCCAGAGGTCAGTGACTGGCTGGACGCCATCGCCACACCGGCCTTCACGGTGGCCGTGGCCGCCTGCGACCGCGCCAGCTTGTGGCAGGAGGCACGAGTCAGATGGGTTTTTCTCGTCAGGGGTAGAAACGACGTGTCCGCACTACGTAGTCCAAACAGCTGGGGTGTATAGACATCAAAAGATTTAGACTAAAATATGTTAGCTAACATGTTAGCATCAATGAGATACATGGGCCACCACTAGGGTTTCATATACCCCGACATGGTCACTGAAAGCGTTGAACGGTGTGAGTGCCAAGTTTCAGTTTGCTTGAAGATTAGGCGGTTTGCTAGCCCCCCCTCCAGCGAAACGCAGGAATCCCAGTACGAAACCTATGGAACGGTGTGACATGGTGTGACAGGTTGCCGCAGCACCCCTGCACTTGTAAAGCTGGGGCCCCTGCCTACCCCTTACAAGTAGGATTCTAAAGGTGGGTTTGGAGAAGAATGATTGTGGAACTTCATGGGCGGCCTGGAATGGTATCACAGCCCTCCTTCCGCCAGGCACTGGCTGTCTTTATGGAATCTTGGCTAGAATCTTCCATGGAACTGTGAACTCATCATGGGAATGCAAGCATGCAGGCAAGTGTTTGCACGACAGAAAGGCCATATATATATATACATATATATATATGTTTTAGATGCTTTTTGCACCACTGGGCTGCTCAGTCGCTTGGTGCGATGTGCCACAACTGAGCAACACCCACGACGGGTGGCCGTGACCCACTGGACATGCAGCTAAGGACATGAAGCAGAGAGGCTATGCTGGGGGCTCAGTGCCCAGCTGAAGGCCTAAGGCGCCTGTGGCCAATTATATGTGAAATTATAAATTATAACATTACATAACACCATTTTACATAGCACAAGCAAGGATAAGCATGATGCCATCCTTGCTTTGGATGGCCTCCTTGGACTAGAAATCGCCAAACGGCGCAGCGCGAGCCTGAAGGCTCCAAGCATTGCTTGTTTCAACAGCGCTTTGAGCGCCTGCAGCCGCTGTAGTGAGTGGCAACAAGCACTTGAGGCTGGGTTGAGTCAGGGACAGCAACACTGGTGTAGCCAGGACTCTTGACCAGTTTCATTAAACGTAAGTTTGAGATGAGTGTTCAGGTAGGTCATAAGTTGGAGCACTTTGTTTCTGTTCATAATTGCATGCAGTCATTGCGCATGCTTTTACCAGCCAAAAGGTTTGAGATTGACGGGTTCCCAAACACGCTCCAAAAGAAACTTGCGCTTCTTGAATTTACCTCCGAGCCACCCTTACCCCATAGAATCCTACACAGGGAGACCTGGGGCCGTGTGGGCAGTCAATTTTCACAGCGGGATGCCTTTTATTACTCTAAAATATTGTATTTTTATATAGGCTGAATACATTTTGTTTAAACGGTGTGAAATTTTACCGTCCCACACTTGCCACACAAATTGGACTTGTTAATTCCATAAACCTTTTGCGGAATGAAAGCTTGCTTGGGCATGCTTGACGTCAGTGCTGTTGATTTGGAAAAAGCACCAAGTCATCAGTGGCCTTTGGGCAACGCACTGGCATAGAGTCTTGAGCACGCTGTGCAATATTGCTTTGCAATTTCAACAATTCTTAACATATTTAACATGTTGTGTTATTGTATTGTATAGCATATTTAACATGTTTAAATATGTACCATTTTGTATTGCAATTTCAACCATATTTTGGCACATGCGTTTGTTTTGCCCCTCGGGGCAGCGGACATCCTCCAGGTTTGGCATGGCACACCAATGCCGAATGACATCGTCGCTTCCGGGCTGCTCATCCGATGCTGGGACCGAATGGGTGCGAGGATGTGCAAGGCTCCGTCCAGCTTGTCGAATTCTCACATTTAGTTCACGGCCCGATGGATAAAATGATTTTGATGTTCAAATTAGCCAGCCAAGGGGGTCATGATTCACATAGAGTGGGCTTTGGGATTGCTTTGGGCAATGTCATGAGCAAGGAGTCGAGTCATGTCATAAATCATACGTCAATCATTTTGGACCCAGAAAACATAAAGAAAACTGAGTCAAACAAAAGGCAACTTTGTGCATTTGCTTTGATGTCCGAGTAAACATCTAAGGAGCAATGGAACGAGCAGGCTGGTGATCGAGTCACCTGCTCAGGATGGTCCGGACGGTTAACCACTATCTATCTCACACTATACTTATATACTGACTCCCCAATATGTGGCGTGGTAAATGGCCTTTGGGAAAATGATTGTCCTCCAGCAGTTGTGTGTTCCACCTCGATGTGTTTTCCATAGGGTGCGAGTGGCGGTCTTTCTTGTCTATTGTTATTGTTTGGTTCCTTTAAGTTTGTGCTGTGCACACTCTTCGGGCAGCTATATCATGCTATATCCCCATCAGTTCAGCGCAGGCGGATTTGCGGCTGAATCCCTGCGCCGCAGTTTTTGAAGTGGCCACTTTCTGCAGATGATCTGCAGATGTCTCCTGACTTATGAATTCTCAAGTTGTTTAAGGAATAGACATACTGACATACTCAAGGGTTGTTGTGCGTGGGCTTTTTTGTATGCCAAACTTGGGTTTCAATCGTCATGTAAACCGACCTCTCCATTTTTCCCCAGCCCTGAGCCCTCGTGGAACTCCCTCAGCAGGCGAATGGGCATTGGGCTTGGAACTGTTTCATCAGCAGGAATCCTTGGGCGGTTCCTTGGGCGGCTTTTGCTTCGGGTGATGGGGAGGTGGAGGGACGTCTAGAATTGGGGATGACGAACTCGCGGAGGATTTCTGTGCACAAATTAAAAATGGGAGCTATAGAGTAAATCGTATATTATGGTATAATATGTAGCTCATTTATAGCTAGAAAATGCTTGAAATATACACATGGATGAGATCCCATCCGTTGAAATTGTAGCCAAATGCAGCTGCTACGATATGCTCTGACCGCAGATGGTCCAACTGTTGGGGTCCAATCGCTTCGTGACGCTGGCATCGCCACACGGTCAGCTTCGGATTTCGCACGAAGCTGGAGGTCCTGTTTGACCAGTGAGTCTCTTGAAAAAGAACAATTGGAAGATGGGTGGAACTCCCTCGATTGGTCTATCATGTCCACATACGCATACGGATATATATGTATATATATATATGCACATAATGTCAACCATGTCTACGTGCCAAGGACTCCGACCAGTTTACGCCCGTCTCAGCCTTCGTGCATGTTGCACCAAAGCCACCCTGGGCGACCTGTTCCTGTGGTCGAGGCACAGTGGCTTTCACCGCAGCGATCTCCTGCTGTGCCATGGCCCGTCAGTGGCAGCAGACCTTGGAACTCCTGGAGCGCATGCGACACACCCAGGTCGGCGCGTGACACAGGGACGAGACCGGGGAGTGTCGACACCTGGGCAGCCTGACCTGGAATTTCTCAGAGGATTCAGGGCTTCAGCATCAGCTCAAGGCATATGTGGAGAGCTTCACTCGCGTGGCTCCTCAGGGTTGGTGCCGATGACACGCCCACCAAGGTGCCCATGACGCGCAGCACACGGAACGCTGCTTTGTGGGGGCCCCAGAAAGAACGCGGAGAGGTACCTGGGCCGGGTTTGGTGCCGTTTTCTCAAAAGGGATGTTGCGTGTAGCCCAGTAGTCCGAGTAGACTTCAGTAGTCGGATTCTTCCAGCAGACGTATAGTATGTATATATATATATGTATAAATACCACAATCGTCCAACTGCAAGATTGATACTGCGCACTTCTTCACCGGTGTTCCATTTGCATTTGCGAGAAGTGGAGGGCAAGTGGGGAAATTTGACTGGCAGATGATGAAAGGCCAAGAAAGCAGGCGCAATGTACTCTGTGTGGTGATTGATTTGGGTTTGCCACGGAACTGAGAAGATCTCCAAACTTAGCACAACGGGACCTTTCTTCTAAAGCCACTAACCTGGGGCCTCTTGTAACAGGATATTTGTGATGCACCACACCAGGCCTGGTGCCCTGCGCTTGCCCAGTATTGTCGTCGAAAGACGGGATATGTTTTCCCTCCACCATCCTCTACCATCGGTTACCATCGTATGTGAAATACTGCAACATGTGAGACACTATGAAGACAAAGGCCCAAATGCAGATGCTCCACGAAGCACAAAAGCGTCACGACGGCGATCATGACCTGCATGAGACCTATGGACATGGAGGACGATATCAATGTATCATATTATTATCTATATTTCAACCCCCACTTGTGAAGAGGTCTTACAATCCATGTGTGGAATCCATGTTTGGAGAGGTATCAGAATAAGAGAAAAAACAGAGTTTACGTGACTGGCAGCTCTTGATTGGATCTCGGACTGCGTCCGGAGCTGCTTCTTGACCACCGCCATGGGGCTTCTGGGCCGCTCGTGGGCGCTGCTTGTGGGGCTTGTTGGAGTTCGGGCAGAGTGGTACGACGGGATTCCCAGCGTGCAAGTGTTTGGACCTGAGCAGCAGGAGGAGGCCGAAAGCCACTTGGCTGCACTGGAAGTCGGGACGTTTTGTATAGAGAGTATAGTGTCGAACTGATCTGTAGGCCTAGGGGAATGCACGCAGCATGGGCCAGCATTCAGTTGGCAAGCCATTTGCCTGTTGTTTTCATGAAGCGCAGGTCTCCCCACTGGGGATTGAAATTGGTCAACCTAGTGGCCGTTGGAAGAAGGCAAATCTCTCAAATCCGTTGCTTCTTCGGGCACTTGAGGCTTCTTCCGAGATCACTACCAGAAGTATCGGCAGCTGGTCCTGGTGAAGATGGTAAGGGGGCGAACTGCGTGGGTCATGTGCGGTTTAGACAAGACGTGACCTTCCTTTGAACTTTTTTCCGCCTAGGAATCCCAGTGGCCCCAGGTTTTGCTGAGAGAAGATGTTCAAATCACAATGCCAGTCTTGTTTTCTCCTTCGCGTATACGGGTTATTTAAGGGCTGCCGCCCCTGCCGCCGACCCCGGGATATACACCAACAACAGCAATCACAGCAGCAGTAGTAAGAAGAAGACCCAGAAGCATCACAAGATCAGAAAAACCACTAGCAACAGGCAGCAAGAAGCATAGTAGGAATGCCTCTGTTCTGGCTGTGCTAATAGACTGGCGGCTGTTTGCGGGGGCTTTGTTGGACAGCCCAGGTGCTGAGCCAGCAAGGCTTGTGCTGCGGCAGCCCTGGTGCTGACCGTAGCACTTCCTGTGGACGGCCGCAGGTCTATCTGCGTGGCTGGAGAAGAAGAAGAAAAAGAAGAAAACGAAGTAGCAATGCCTCTGTTCTGGCTGTGCTAATAGACTGGCAGCTGTTTGCGGGGGCCTTGTTGGACAGCCCAGGTGCTGAGGCAGCAAGGCTTGTGCTGCGGCAGCCCTGGTGCTGACCGTAGCACTTCCTGTGGACGGCCGCAGGTCTATCTGCGTGGCTGGAGAATGGCAAGCAGAAGAAGAAGAAGAAGCAGAAGAATAAGAAGAAGAAGAAGAAAAAGAAGTAGCAATGCCTCTGTTCTGGCTGTGCTAATAGACTGGCAGCTGTTTGCGGGGGCTTTGTTGGACAGCCCATTTTGGGTGCCTAACACCGCCTCTGAATCCCTAGAAAAAAAGAAGTTTGTGTCCATTTGTCTCGGTCATCTTGGCCCCGAACACCTGGTCCCGCCACAGCTTTTCCCAATCTAATTCTGGTCCAAAACGAGCCTCCCATGGTCGCACTTTGGGTGCCAAACGCCGCCTCTGAATCCCTAGACCTAGAAAAAGACAAGTTTGTTTCCATTTGTCTCGGTCATCCTGGCCCCGAACACCTGGTCCCGCCACGGCTTTTCCCAATCTAATTCTGGTCCAAAACGAGCCTCCCATGGTCGCACTTTGGCTGCCTAACGCCGCCTCTGAATCCCTAGAAAAAAAAGAAGTTTGTGTCCATTTGTCTCGGTCATCTTGGCCCCGAACACCTGGTCCCGCCACAGCTTTTCCCAATCTAATTCTGGTCCAAAACAAGCCTCCCACGGTCGCACTTTGGGTGCCAGACGCCGCGTCTGAATCCCTAGACCTAGAAAAAAACCAAGTTTGTTTCCATTTGTCTCGGTCATCCTGGCCCCGAACACCTGGTCCCACCACGGCTTTTCCCAATCTAATTCTGGTCCAAAACGAGCCTCCCATGGTCGCACTTGAATGACGTACACCGGCGCTGCCAGGCTAAAGGCTGCGGTGTCGGAGTGCCGCGAACGTACCAATCCAGGGAGGGTTGAGGGGTTTGAAGGGTTTGAGGGGTTTGAGGCGTTTGAGGGGTTTTGAGGCCTGGTAAACGACGCAATCTATTTCCACCAAAAACTACTCCAAAACAGACTCAACTGCTCGCACATTCGGGGCCAAACGTTGCGTCTGGATCCCTAGAAAAAAAAACTAGTACATTCTGGCCCATCCGTACCCTGTGAACCTGAGCACCGGCACAGACCTTGCCACAAGAGATTCACAGGCACCGGCATCCATGGTGAGCACTCCCACACCTGTAATCCCTGGCGCGCTCCCCCTTTCTTCAGCCGGGGTCGGCGGATACACAAAATATATACATACTGGGCACACACACAACACACATACACATTACATGCTTTCGGGGGCTAGTGCACTCCCCGAAGTGACTGAACATGTGTAAGGCAAGCAAACATCAAACACCATAAGAAGCTAGCTGATCCTTTCCATTGCAGGGTGCCCTTTCAAGGCCACTGTGATGGGACATGTATTTTGTCGTAGCGTCGCCATCCATTTCATGCCCGACCCGGGCCACCGATGGGACACCGCGACCGCTCAAGCTCCCAGGCAGGCGGAGTTCTCCGCCGCTCGCCAGGCGGTGCTCCTGAAGCGAGGTGAGACGCGACCACCGGTGGAACGTTCAAGGGTTCATCATGGCCCTATTGATGTATGGGTATGAATTAAGTAGACCCGTCTACCGTCCATAGACTGGGGGTCTCTATTATTGAATGACGCGCCCAGATGTACATGCGATCTTCTTACAATGCATGGTGTTATATGATATGATATGCATATATATATATATATACACCCTAGAAGTCCAAAGACTATATATGTTGACCGACTGAAGCAAAACAATGTCCTTTTCGGGTCATCTAATGACCATTCTTCTTGTAGTCTTTGACTCCCAGGGTGTGTGTATATATATATGCATATAGATTGTCTATAGGTGCCAGGTGTCTATGTATCGCTGCATAGTGAAACTGTGAAATACATGTATATCATACGCGGCTGCAGGTTTTTCTTTCTTGAGCAACCATTGGGAACCAGACAGTGCTGTTTATGGACCAGGCGACCGGACTGAGCAACTGGACCAGGAACCTGTCCTCCCATCGTCGACTTCGGATGGGTCCCCACAAAAACCAGTCCGTGGTGCAGGGTGCACCATCAGCAGCAAGCTAACCCTCAGTTGAAGAATGTCACCCAACGATCCCACGTTGACCAAGAAAAAGCAGTTGCTCTTGGTTTGCCTAGGGTTTGGCGGAAACAGAGCGCAGATAGCTTTGATTTTTTGCATAGATGTATCCTGCTCTTCGACTGCGCAGAAACTGGGCACATAGTATCACATGTCCTATCATGTCCTTGTCACCACAACCCGCTCTGACAGTAATTCTTGAAGGTCAAATCTTCAGCAAAGGAGCCTGCACTATTTCTTAGGTCTAACTACTGGTCCAACATATGTCATCTTCACAATTAAGGTATGTAACTATCGGTCCCGAGCAACCTCCCCCCCACCGGCACAGGTGACTACAACTTCTCCTTCGAGGTGCCCTTCTACACCAGCGTGGCCGGTGTCGGCCTTGGCCCCAACGAGGTGACGGTCCGGTCCTTCCGCGTCCCGTGCCTTGGAGGGCCGTCCCAACGGGAAGGGGTTTAGGGCGGGTGGCGGTGGGAAGAGAGGTGCAAGTGGGGTGATTCAAGTGTGAAATGATTTGGAGGGACCAGGTGACCAAGCCCAAATTGGATCCAGGTGGATTTGAATCCAATTCCTTTGCTCTCTTACTTGCCTTCAGCTACGGCCCTTTCGCTTGCAAAGATATGAGTCCGCAATATAGAGCCTTCAAGATGTTCCCGACTCATCCAAACGTTTGAGGGTGAGATGTTACGAGATGTCAGTTTTAACACTCAGCGATCAGGTGGTCAGACTGTCCTCCACTGTCGTCTATTTTGTCGACTTTGCTAAGGACCTCCTCCGGGCTTTGCACTAGAGTCACTAGAATAGACCCCACCTTTTGGAGGAGGAGATTGCGTATTTGCTTGGGAAGAGAAAGTGGAAGGTGATCAACTCCAAATTGACCTTGTAGGACATGGGATGCGGGTGAGGACCGCCTCGGTGGTCACAAAGATGTGGCAATTCAGGAGGTTGATCGATTAGATAGATAGGTCACCTGCGTTTCTTGATAGTGGAGGGCGAGCTCTTTGCATTTATGGGACATTATTGGACAGGGACCCTTTCCTACAGCCAATCCTACAGCGTGCGACGGGTCTAGGGACCCCTTACATCCCCTTACTGTAATGAGGTTTACCAGCAGATTTTGATGATACATGTTCTAGATCTTCGGGATTTGGCCTCGGACGGTGCCATCCCTCGCTGGGGAATAAACAATAATAAACACAGAGCGGTCTCCCGGTCGAGTCTTTGGCCAGGATTGTGTCACGTGCAGACTGGTGCACGTGAAACAATCGCCAAGCAGTCTCGTTCTGAACTCACCTGAACTCAGGAGTCGACTGCCCTGGCAACAGGGTGGTGCTACGAAGACCTTTTGGCGCTCTGTCGAGGGTTCCTGGGCCTTAAAAGAAATGGCGATCAGCCAAACAAACTCTCCGAAATCCCCGGGGTGATCCGGGTGGTTGTTTGTTTTTTTTCCAGTTCAGTTTGCACAAATGAGTCTGATAAAATCATGTAAAATCAAAACGTTGACGTATGACTGGCCTCTACCCTTTTGAGCAAGGTTGGCAGTTGTTCATCGGAATGGCATTTCTCGTTGAAGAAAGCATGTCCCTCACCCCCCCCATTCGACTCCACCCTGCGCCGCGGAGAATTTGGTAGTGATTTGAGCAGAAGCAAGCAGCCAGCAGCAGCAGCAAACCAGCAAAGCAGCAGCAGCAGTAGCAACTGCAACAGCCAAGCAGCATGCAGCAGCGACCAGCAGCAGCAGCAGAAAGCAGCAGAAGAAAGCAGCAGCAGCAGCAACCGGGAGCAGCAAGCAGCAGCAACCAGGAGTTTGGGAGACATCGCTCATGGCAAGGGATGCCGTATTTTTGTTCCAGTTCTCCTTCCAAAACTTCTTGAAACATGACGGTGCCTTGCCAAGCAGCTAAAGTATGCTAAAGGCAGCTGAGGCGGGTGAAGTTTCGGGAATCCCCCCCCAAACAATCACATAACATAGAGCAGCAGCAGCAGCAAACCAGCAATGCAGCAGCAGCAGCAGTAGCAGCACAGCAAAGCAGAAAGCAGCAGCAGTGGCACCAGTGGCAGCAGCAACGACAGCAACAGCAGCAGCAGCAGCAGCAAAGCACCAAAGCTCACACAAATTTGGCCTCCACAACCCTTCGTTTTCGTTCAGTTTTTGGGGGGTTGCGCAGACGAAATTGAAAGAGGGGGGGACAGCAAAGCAGCAGCAGCAGTCTTCAGGATTCAAGCAACAGCAGCAACCAGCAAGAAGTAGCATCAGCAACAGCCAAACAGCAGCAGCCTCCAGCAGGAGCAGCAACCAGCAGTAACCAGCAGCAGCAGCAACCAGCAGCAGCAAGCAGCAGCAGCAACCAGCAGCAGCAGCAGCAGCAGCAACCAGCAGCAAAAGCAGCAAAAGCAACCAGCAGCAGCAACAGCGGCAGCCAGCAGCCGCAGCAGCAGCAACAGCAGCAACCAGCAGTAACCAGCAGCAGCAGCAAGCAGCAGCAGCAACCAGCAGCAGCAACCAGCAGCAACAACCAGCAGCAACAACCAGCAGCAACCAGCAGCCAGCCAGCCAGCCAGCAAGCAAGCAACCAAGCAAGCAAGCAACCAACCAAGCAACCAACCAAGCAACCAACCAAGCAACCAA